GATTCTGCCTGGTTTTTCAGGGACCCTTTTTGTTAATTAACCTAAATAAGTTTCCTGAGGTTTGTATTCCAATTTCCTGCACTTGGCAAAAACAAGGCTTGATGCTGCAGCCATCACCTCGAGCCATTTGTAAACATTCAGTCATCCATTTGTTTCTGGAGGAGGGAGGTTTGTTGCTCACTCTGCTCTGCTGGCTGGCAGAAGGAATGCCTCAGAATTTAAGATCATTTGTAACTGATTTCCTGTAGCTCTCTGCACATTTAAGGACTTGACTACTTACTTCACTTTGCCATTAGTTGGTTAAAGTAAGTTGTGTTTTAGCTTCATGAAAATTGTTTCAAGTCATGGTCATGTACTAGTTTAATTTGTGAAAACCTTTTGAAACTTTGATTCTTCTGTAAGTTTTCACATAGTGACAAGGGGTAACCTCTGAAAGTGATGAAGGTTCAGAGGACCTACACAATGATAAATGGAGCTTCAAACGCACACTTTGTTCCTTTGCTTCTTCCTGCTCCTCCAGAGATTATCTCCCTGAGCTCTGCCTTGACTTTACCTTGACTTAGCCTCTATCCTGCAATATTTCTTGTAACCCTTCACTTCAGTGCACTGCTAGAGTGACTACATGCTCATTCAGCCTTCTTCCTTGGATGTATCTGGTTGGAAAATGTGACTGCGAAATGGGACATTTGCCTACACAGTCCAGCAGAGTGACAAACACAAGTGTCCATTATTTGACTGACCAGATGCAGAGAATGCTATTGTTTTACTTAATTTCATTCTCTATTCTTCTAAACATTTAGACTTACTATTTTTTTTCACACTGCCAGCTACCTTTGAATTTTATCATTAATTGCTGGTATTTCTTCTTTGTTTTGTTTTTCTGTTATGCATTGTTTTTCTCAGTTATGACCAAAGTTAAATCATATCAGCATGTTTTCTTCTTATCTTCTGAGTGTTTCAGTGCCTGAAGTTCTCTGTATGGCTAAGAAAAGGAAAGAAAAAAAAATAAAGTAAAAAGTATTCTGGAAATGCAATGCTTTCTCTGAGTTTTAATTCAAACTGTAGTTTTGCTAGAAAAATCCCACCAGAATTTCTAGAGTTGATCTTGACCTCAAATCATCTCTGCCTTTCTTATATGAAAGAAAATCAACTTTTATCAGATAAGCTTCTACTGAAATCCCCATGTGTAATTTTTTAATTATCTCCTCTTAACTACCATAATTCTGCATTTTGGATTGGTTTAATCCTTAATCACCATGAGCAAAAAGGGACTTTATTTTCCAGCAATGAGGAGAGTTCCTTGAAGAAACAGTTCCACGTCCCAGTCTCTGCTAATGCCTTTTTCATCCAAGAGTTACTAAACAAAGAACATAAACAGCAGTGGGACCAGAGACCACAAACCAGCAGTCAAACTCCAGTCTCTTGCTGCAGAATTATTTGCTTATCAATGGCAGAGTGCCCTTTTTGCTATGCCAGGAATGGCAGGCATATCGCTTTTTGTTTTCCCTTGTACTGTTCTAATTATTGCTCCACTATGAGTGTGTTTTATTCCTCAGCCCAGCCGTCTCTTGGGACTGATTTTCATTCAGTACAAATGTTCTCATTATAAAGGCTTAACATGAGGAGAATATAAATGAGAAGATGAGTGCATGCTAAGAAGTTGCTTATACAGAAACTATTGATCAAAGGAACAGCAGAGTAAAACACATGTCAGCATTAACGTGCTCCTACTTCCATGGTTCAAACAGTTTCCTTTCCCATAAGAATAGTGTGACTCCTTGCCTCTGAAACCAGGCCAGGAAAGACTTTGTTTAACTGAAATAAAAATTACAAAGCATTTCTATAGAAGATTATGGTGTGGTACTAAAGAGCTCTTTGAAAGCATATGCACCTTCATCAGTCTCAGAGATTACCCCCTGTCATTATGTGAAAACTTACAGATGAATCAAAATTCCAAAAGGCTTTTACAAATTATATTATTTCATGATCATGGCTTGACATAATTTTCATGAAGCTAAAACACCACTTGCTTTATCCAACTGCTCACTAATCACACAGTTGACCCACTCACCATCCCATTTCTGGAGGGTACATCCCTTGGGAACTGCTTTTGCCCGGTGGTTTTGGGCTGGATCAGACAGTAGTCACTGCCAGATGAAGACTTCAGTGAACAGTCGTGCAGGCCCTTCTTCACCCTCTGGCCCACTGAGAGAGACCAGAGGTGTCTCTGCAAAGGCATCAATCTCTTTAGGATTTCAGCAACAACAACTCCCCTCCTCCAAAGGGATGGAAACAGCTGAAAGCCACAGTAGAAGTTCAGCCCCTCATTTTTTCAGGCCAAGACAATATACCCCTAACAGCTGAACAGAGGCAGAGGGTGTTCACTGATAAAATATCGTTTTGAAAAAGATTGTGCAAAACCAAGTCTGTGAGGCTAAAAGCAGAGCTAAGCAACCCTCAGGTGCTTGGCTACCAGGCTCCACCTGAGGCAAAAATATTTCCTCCTGCCTTCCACTGGGCTGCAGGCAGCTGTGCAGGTAGTATTTAATCTTCAGTGAAAGAGTTTCAGTTTACATTTCATTCCATATTCTTGGACATAACTGGAAAAAAATTAAATGTGTGTTTTTACTGAATTTCAACTTAAAAGTTCCACTGAGGGCAGCAGCCCTGCTCTTCTATTTTTCCTGCTTGCTGACTACATAAATGTGTAGGATATCTCTCAAGACTCTTGAAAAGTCAGAATTCTAACAAGAATAGGTGAGTCATGTCTAGACTGACATAAAAATGAAACAGTATCATTCTTGTCAGCAGAATGAAGCATGGCTCACACTCTGATCCATGACACACTCACTTGGTCTTTAGGCTAAAATAGCACACACAGAAGTGTGCACAGTTATAACCAGAAACTTCTAAAAATATGTAATATGAAGCCTCTTGAATCCTAATTTACAGACTGTAAACCTTGCCAAGAAGTAGTATTTTACCAAACAATTCAATAGACATAGGGCATTATCCAGCATGGGTCTCAATACCTGTATATCTGGATATACATAGCATTCAAATCTGACCTTAAGCTCCAATCCATTTTAGCTTTAGGTCACCTTCAGTCCATTCAGAAACACCATTTGGCTTCGTTCTCACAAAGGACTAGATGCACACTCAGCTGGTGTATTACCCCTTAGCTACCAGACTGAGCATCCTTATGCCACGTGCACCTGTGCTTGGAGGCATGGGTTTCCACAAGAGCCTCCCTTCCTTCATCAGAGAATTGGTGTCTGTTAGGCAGGACTTACATGGATTTACTGTCTCTCTGGTTACTCTGTCAACTCTTAGACAGCTCTCATGCACAGCCCAACAGCGTAGGGAATTTATGGCATGGGTTGCTCTGACATCCAATGCATGCCTTACGCAATTTTTTCGATCTATGCCTGGACCAAGCCTAGATGTCAGGAAGTTTCTCAGTAGGTCATGGGCAGTTCCAGCTAGATTAGACCTGGAAGCTGAGCTACTGTCTGTCATAGACAGCTCTACAATCGGTAGTATAGAAATACGCTTTGAGTATGAGCAAACTGGAAGGTAGAATTGAAAACAAAACATGGACAAACTTGCACCATCTGCTTTGAAATGCCAACACTTTCCTAGAATAACCAGTGCATCACTACCTTAAGACATTCCTCAGAAGAAAAGCTTGTTTAAGAAACAGAATTGTTGTCTGAAAATGACTTGTAAGTGTGAGGAAGGCAACACATTTGTTCTGGTGGGTGCAGCTCTGAGCTTCACACCTGCCTATATTAGGTTCAGTCTTTATGTATCTGCATTCTTCAGTGCTCATCTCACACCTCCATAGAAGAGATTTATCCTTCAATTTGGCAGTCAGGCTTCACTGCCAGTGGAAAAAAAAAAACTTTGAGAAAGCAAGAAGGGTTGTCATAAGAGAATGAATCCAGATGCAAGGGTTTTCCCCCCCTATTGTTTTAAATTTTGAGTAAATTAACAGTCTTTCTTGTCAAAACCAGAAGTAAAGGCTATTTTAAGAGAATGTGAATGGCTCAGAAACAAAAACCCTGTTGATTTTCCTGTCTCAAAACTTCTGAAAATTAAAGATGGGTTTGGGTTTTTTAAACATGTGTTGCTTAAACACAGGTATCCAGAGTCTTTTTAGAGGCTCTGGGATGTCCCCTATCCCACAGTTCCTGATCCAGTAGAACTGCGCCATATCTGGCAGACTCACTCCAGTACATCTCAGATGATGCCTATGCTCAGGCCCTTGACTCTCCTAAACATTTTTCAGAGCTGCTATTCTCGATGCCATCCATAGGAACTAAATGAGCAAGCTCTCAAATAATGAGGTCATCTATCAAAGTGCCTGGACATAAATTTAGTGATTAATTTCCACAGTTTTACTTGAAACATTAGAATGTTACAAGCTGAATGATATAAAAAGGCCCTTAATGATGGAAATTACTTGTATAGAGGAATGGGAGATGACAATTCATTATTCAGATATAATACAAAAAATTCTTTTCCTGTTTTCGCAGCTGAGTGTCTGGTTTTGTGTTCTTATGTGCAAGTTGGATTTAAATGGCCTGACAGCCTATAAAAAGCTACCTCCTAATGGTCTCCAGGGGTGATTTCAGACTGAGATTTTTTTTTTAAAGCTATCATTATAGAGTATTTTGAGACTACTCCTTTAACTCACACTTCAAGAGTGGACCTCTAGGAAGTTGTAACCGGTATTTATTTCTAAACCTGCCCTGCCCAGAACATAAATTAATCCCAAGAATTTTAAAGATTTTTTCTTGAAAATAATAATGACTTGGGTCTAGTTTATCTGCATGATTTCAGCAGCCAAGCTCCAGAGTAGTATGTTGGCACAATACCCTATAGTCAACTTAATGGTGTGATTCCCTGGAGCACTATTTCTTTCCTGTAACCCTGTTACTTGCAAGCACTTAATTTTATTCAAGTCCATTTGGAAACAGGTGAAAACATACAAGGAGTGCAAATGAAAAATATTTTATTGTGAACATGACATGTAAAAGATGCATTTCAGAATATACTGTTACATATCAAATGAGGAAAAAAAAAGCTCTGACGTGAGATAAATGAACAGTGCTTGAGACAAATTAAGAACATGCACACAGCTGCTCTAACAGCGCAACTCTGATACCAATCACAACATATTATATAGCTTTTATGACCATGTTTATAAAAATTGCAAATATTGGACCTACTCCTGCATTGTTGTCCATCATCCAAATCTTCAGTCAATCTTGCAGGTGTGTGGAGGGAACAATGAGAGCAAACTGACACCCCACCTCAGGCAGCAGAAGGTAGAGATGGAGGAACATCAAAAACAAAAGATAAAAACTCTGTTCTACAAAAGTAAAAAGGTAAATATTATCCCAAGGAATATTATTTGCACGAGAAATCTTAATTGCAGCATCCTGACCCCATTAAAGCCAATGAGAGTATGCCATTGAGATCAGTGGAGCCTGAATTTCATACTGAAATTTAAAACATTCTTGCTTTAGTGTAAACATCAGCAGAAACTAAATGCCAGCATCTATACAAGTATTCAAGTGCTGTTTAAAAAAACAATAAAAAACATACAACGCTAACCCAAAATGCCAGTACATATACAAAAGGCAGATAATTAAAAGAGGAATTTTTTTCCCAAATATACATTTTTAAGTATTTAAAACCACCAATTTTTAGTACTTGTACGTCATTGTTAGGGAAGGAGTATATGAGAAAAAAACTGAATTATTTACAGTGATAAAGGAAGGGCACAGTGTTTGCTCAGATCTATTTGAAACCAGTATTGTTCTACTTTGGAGTCATGACATATGCCTGCACACTCCAACAGGTTTCAATACAGTGTTGAGAAGCAGCTTTACTTCGTTGTTATGAAATATGATCCTTCTGTGCAAGTATTTCAGCATACTTCTTCATGAACCATTTTATACCCATTCACATTTTCAGTTAAAAAAACCTAAACAAACCAACCTGAAAAATTTCTTGCCACAATATTTTGTCTTTAAAAAACCTGATGAGATTTTCCACAATGGCAATTTACAGTCATGCATTTGGAGACTCAGAGTCAATACAACTTTTCCATTTACTGTTACGGTTGTGCCTGTCTTCAAAGAGTTCTTTGCTAATTTTTGTGCGGATCTCGGGACTCATTAACAGCTCCTTTATCTGATTCAGTCTGGGTAACAGGGCCTGCGTTTCTCTGCGTAAAGCTTCTTTTACTAAGTCTGCTTCATGGCTCTTTCCTAGAGGAAAACAACAATATAATACATTTTATAACAACTAATGTGATTTAGAATCATTAATGTACAGAGATAAAGAGATCATATCTGGTTTGGACAGTAGTAAGTGCTCAGTGTTTCACCCATACTGATTTTTTATAAAAAGGTATTTCATCAAAAAATATAATTTACATCAACAAATGCTACCAAAATGTAAAGAACAGTACAGCATCACATTTAAGGGAAACTCCTGCCTTATTACATACTGTGTAATAGTATCTGCAATGAGTATCTGCAGTGGTAATTTTTAGCTTGGTATTGACTGCTGTTGACTAGGAAACAGCACGTGCTCTCACACGGAGCAAGCAGCCCTGCAGTGCTGCCAAACCCTCGGGCGCAGGGCATCGCTTCCACTTATGGCAAGGCTTCATCCACAACCATCCACGACAGTCCAAATGACAAATGCAAAATGTTCAGTTTCTCCTCAAAAGAAAGAAAGGGACTCTTGGTATCCAGAGCAAGTGAAGACTGGAGCCGCCTGCTTCACCATTCTTGTCTTTTTTCCACCGTCCATCCCTCCCAGCATTGGACAGATTTTCAGTAGTGCAAGCACTTATTAAACCAGTAGACAGTGTCCTTTGATTCAGAACAAACTTTCGATAAGAGACTCACAATGCAGAACGCCTGACACCTAGCACCACTTTGCAAATTTCAGCAGGGAGCAGAACATGTTTTTGTAGTTATTCTTGGTGGGATATTTGCTCCCAGGCTTTTTGCACAGTGCTCACTTGCTGTTATCATTGTCACTCTCATTCTTGTTGCTGCTCGCTGCTTCCTCAGTTTTTGCAGGGCTCCCATCAGTCTGCCTGCTTTTGTTTTGTGTTTCTTCTAAATATTGCTGCACAGCCTTCAGCACTGCGTTCTCCACCAGCCTTTTGCTGAGGCTCACCAGCTCTGCATCGTCTGGCTCTGCTGCTTGTTTTTCACCTATGCATCACAACAGACAAGAGAAGGAATTCATTGCCATGCAAAGACAGTATCTGTCATTGTATCAAAAGCTTCTGACTTGAGCTGGATTCTAAGTTATTAGCTGCCTCTTCCTGATTGTAAAAAGTGATTTTTCCCCCCACCTCAAGCTCCAAACCAAAAGTGTTCCATAAAGATGTGTACAGCATATTAGATCAAAGATATTTCACTGATCACGTTTCTTATAATACTACAGCAAAAGTAACTGGCTAACATTATAAATTTTCATTCAGCTTAGAAGAGTAAGTGTGCAAATTTAATTTTTTCTGGCCAGTGGTCACCTGTGACATCTGAGCAAAGATCACAGTTGAAAAGGACCCATAAGGATCATCAAACCCAGCTCTTAGGTAAATGGCCCTTAAGGGAATAATACTTGCAAACTTGGCATTATCAGCCCCATGCTCTGACCAAATGAGCAAATCTCAGGATCAAATATAGCATAAGGCATATTTACACTTCAGTAGCATTCCTAAATTTAGGTGCCACCATTTTGTGATTTTGCTTAATAAATCTAAATCTATCTATTTATTCATTGCTCGTAATTCAGGAATTTCTCATGGGAAAAACTACTAAAGCACTCCAAGCACAGGTTACATATATTTTTCTAAACAAAGCATAAAACCTAGAAAAACCATATAGTCCCTCCTCTCAAAGCTCTCTTCTGCCACTAGAGCTTTGATGTTAAAGCTCTAACATCAAAGGATTGCAAGTTCCAGCAGTCCATTCTTAAATATCTGCTGCTAAAAACAAGAAGCTGACATTTCCCTGTTTTGCTAAAACTTCATATGAATAACATATTCAACAAACCAACAGTATACATAGTGGGGATTCTCATACATCATAACATGTAACTTGAAATGGTACTTTTCCATGAAACAGTTTTCTAATAAACTATAAACCCTACTGCAGAATCCTCCTGTTATGAAGAATTAGTTGCAGGAAAAGCAAATTTTATTGTCCAATTCTCATTGGTAATGCCATTTGCTATTTCACAGTCCCCTGCACTAGGTAAATAACTGTTTCCCTCCATCTGTATTTAAAGGTCATACATTCTGTGTCTTGTTCGGGCATTTGCATTCTGCAACCAGTAATAAGAGGCTGCTTAGTCACATGCATCTGGTGAAAGAGATATTATTGTATGCTCTCAGCACAAAGCTTTGTACTGTTCAATTACCTAAATTTGTCACTTTTCATATATGTACATTTATTAAAGTTGTGCAGCACATTTAGATAACAGTTAAGAAAGACTTTTATTAGTCTTCCTAGAGTACTGCACAACCTGGGAGTGATAAAGCGTAATTCATATGGGGATTCAAGGAGCAGAGAGAGAAGGAAACAAAACCCTTCATATTCAGAGGCAGTGCCTCTATTAGCTGTTAATCTGATCATTCTGCTCTGGAACAGTAGCTCTTGCAGTTCTGGGCCTCCACAGCACTGTTAGTACAGGCAAGGAAGAACTGTGCTCTCCCCCGGAAGAATCATTAGACTACATCTTGGTAAATCATTTCTTTACATTTTGGAGAAAGTGTAGATAAATATTCTAAAGATATTAAAAAGAATATCTAAGGGGATAGTTTTGGTTAAAAACAAATATAAGAATGTATTATAACAATACATTAAAAACAGAATTATCATTTCCAAGGAGAAATATTTCAGGCTCCTGTGCAACAGAGGCAGAGGCACTATTCCCAAAACCAAACAGCTACACACTCCACATTCTCTGACTCACGGCTTACCATATCACTCCTATCTCTAAATCCTGGGTCTAAATTTATCCTTTAACTTACAGGAAGGAGGGACTTAATTCAGACTCTTCTCTCCCAGGGCACCCAAGGTATTTATGAGGAGCATCTCCTCACAGCTTTTCTGAATTGATCCCCACACTCCTCTGAATGAAGCCCTTTGATTACGATTTCCTTTGCTTCTAGTAAAGATGCTCAAAAATGTCTTGGTTGCCCTGGTCTATTTAATCACTAGAAAAAAAAATTAAAATACTTAATGATTATTTAAAATAAACCTGGTTTACAGTTGCAGAATTTCTTGTTTTTCAGAATTGCTTGGGGGTCACGGATATTATTACTCACATAGTGCTAATGATCTATCCATGCAACTCAGAAAAAAAATCAATGGGAAATATGGTGCTCAGCTACTCTTACACTTGACCCTCTAGTGCTTAATATGCAGAATATGACTAATCAGTCACAGAGGCCTCCAGATACCACACAACAGTACTGATTATATTTACTCACAGTGTAATTTTAGTTGTAGTACATAATGTATTATGGTCTGAAAAAGGCCAGAGCTCTTCTCCCATGAATACTTTCTGCAGAACAGTTCTCATTTACAGATATATGTCTAAAACCCATATAGCTACTATTGTGTTTATTATTTCAAAATAAGCAGGTAGCTCACTTATAAGTACTTTCTCAAGCATGAAAAACATCAGATTTTTATAAAATGGTACTTTTATAAGTTCAGTTTATATAGCTACAGAAGAATGGACTTGTGTTTTTTTGTTTGTTTATTTTTAATATTTTGAGATATTCAAGGCTCATCAAAAGTCTGGGATGAAGACTGTAGCACCTCCTAAGAGCTCTGCACTCCCACTGGAAAGACATTTGACTGACATGTGAATGCAAATGCATGCACATCCTTGCACGAAGAGTGTGCTTGGATTTATCTGTGCAGCCACCTTGGTGAACAGGCACACAGGCCTATGTGATTCCCTGATGCTCTGTTTCTATTCTCATACTCCCAAAGCAGCATTTGTGGGAGTGTCTGCAATGCCATGGTTGGCTAGCAAGGTAGCTGGGTACCATTGTATCGCTCATATTCATGACTGTTGATAAGATGAAACAGGTCATGTAATTAAAAATAAGTGTTGAGCATCTATATCTACTTGACAATTTAACACACATCTGTCCTTTTTACATATCTCCTCCCATGCTGCAGCTCCTGCTTGCCTGCTTCTTTGATGAATACAATTCCTTTGCAGCAGGCAAATGCTTCGAGTGCACTGTCTAAAATTATTGGAATTACTGGAATATCTGTAGAAGTCATTGCAGAGATGAATGTCTTAGATTCAAAAGGGAGGTTTAAAAATTCACATTTGCTCTGTTTGTAATCTCTGTTCTGAAAAGGGAACAGATATACCACAGCACTACATTTGCATCAATATTGTGACACTACTTTAATTCTGTGCCTGTGTATAAACAAAATTCCACTGTCTTCTCCTCAAGGTTGTTCAGAATAAAAATGAAAAAACCTTTCATTTTGTTTATCCCAGAATTCTCTTTTATAATTTTCAAAATATGAAAACCAATTCATACACTGTGAATGTACCTCAATGCATTCATGCTGAGCAGCTTTTTTATTACTAAAACTGAAGCATACCAGTTGTCCTGAAATGACCATAATTTTTTACAAAGGGAACTATCAGCTCCACAGAATTATTCAAAAGAGGCTTTATGATCCTACATCCTACTGCTAGCACTTATGGACATGAACCAGATGCCTGCAACCACAGCCAAATTTGTATTCAAATTCTCTGCAGTATCTTTCTACTGGACTAGGTTTACTCTCCAAGTCTACATCCCCCTACACATTACAAGATTGTGAGCTGAATTTTGAAACACTGTATTGGAATAAATCAGATATCATCGTCCTGGTACAGCATTTTCACAGCCCTGACATAGCCTGTTTAGAGTGCATGTAGGTGTCTCAGATTTGGAGAGAGGCAGGACAGTTTGAATCCCTCTATTGTTCATATGATTAGCCCATGGATTGTGATTTTTTTGTAACAGATTTAATTGAAGGAAGCAACAGGGGATCCCTTTTAGAGGAAAAGCCAGTTTTACATTATTTTACCAGCTATGTTCCAAGACAATGTTCTGCAATCCTTTCCTTGTGGCCTCAACACACTGGGTTTTGTTCTTCCTTCCAACAACCTTTCTTGGCAACAAAACACTGATAACATGGGGAACATTATAAAAGAGACCCCTAGTATTTTGAATAGATGACCAAGATCTGCTGAGAAATTGTGTGGCAGAAGTTCTGTTCTGGGACCTGGAGAGGGCTGTGGTAGCAGACATGCCTCTATCTACCTTTTGGGTTATTCCAATAATTGTTTGTAATACAGTTTTTACAAACTCTATGAAAACAAATATGAGCACATGCCCATATCTAATCAACAAGGCAAGTAGCGACAGGAAAGTCACAACTCTGAACATTTCCTTGTTAATTAAGAAGGACTTGCATGAAAAGTCTCTTAAGTGGTCACTTTAGAAATTGACACAAGGCACTGGGAGGAAGGTGAAATTATAATCTCATTATGATATGAGGGTGATGACATTTCTGTTGTTGGATGTTCCCACCTTTGTCAGATGTGAGACAGCTAACAAACTTCTTTAGGTTTACATATATTGCTCTGTAAATACAGGAGTGTCATAAAAGGCAACACCAATCTGTCCTTCATGCTGAATACATGATTTCTAATTTGCTGGAAAGGTTTTTAAATTTAATTTGGCACATGATGGAATAAACCTGATAAAGCAGGAATTTCTACTAAAGAGGAAATTAAGGCTGTTGCAGCTATTCAGGGAAAGTGGTACTCTTGCCAGATTCAGTAATGACAACAGGAGTAGCTGCAGGACCCTTTGAACTGCAGACTTGGCAAACATGGCAAAAGTTTGTTTGGTTTCTCATAAAACCCTGTGAAGCTCTGATATAAATGTTCTGACCACCTCTAAATGAAGAAAGAGGATGTGATCTGCTAAACCTCTGCAAGCACTAAGGGATGTGATGCACAGGCAAGAGCCTCCAGAACGAACAAAATTTTAAAAGTTATGTAAGACTCTTGTTCTGGCATACAGGGAGTTCCGTTAAATATCTTGGGTTTATATTTTCTATTAAAAGAGATCTGTTGACAGAGAAATTCCCTGATTCCTTTAATGTAGTTTAAA